TGGAGTGTCAAGTGGTTGTTTCTGTATGGTGGGAGAAACAGCTTGGCGGATGATACGGTCAGAGTAACCGTTCATCTTGAGGGCTAGATGTAAGTCACTGGTCAGGTGATGTTGGTCAGAAATGCAATGAGCTCTATGGTATAATGTTTTGATGAGATAATTATTTTGAGCCGGGTGGTGGTGGGAATCAGGCTTCAAGTAGGAATCTGTGTGGGTGGACTTCCTGTAAACAGAATGTTCCAAAGAGCCATCAGTCCTCCTCTCAAACAGAACATGCAAGAATGGCAGCTTGCCATCTTTCTCCACTTCCATGGTGAATTTGATGGATGGGTGTCTGGAATTGATGTGGTCTAGGAAATGGTTCAAAGCTGGGAGGCCATGTGGCCAAATGACGAAAGTGTCATCCACATATCTCTTCGACAGGAAAGGATGAAGGGTGGATGTCTGGATGGCGTCCGATTCAAATTTCTCCATGAAAACATTGGCTATCACTGGTGACAAGGGGGATCCCATTGGGGTATCCTCATTTTGTTTGTAGGTGCCATTCCAGGTAAAGTAAGTGTTGGTGAGGCAGTGCCTAACCAGCGCAGGTACATCAGGGTTCAGTCCATGTTGGACCAAATCGTCAATTTTTGTTATGGTATCAGGTACTGGGACCTTAGTGAACAGAGAGACCACATCAAAGCTGACGAGGATATCGTCAGGAGATAGTACAATGTCTTTGACCATAGAAACCAATTGGGTTAAGTACTGCTGAGGTGGTCTTGCCAGTGAAGGGAAGCAGAGTATCCGACAGAAAACGGGCTAGCTTGTAGGTAGGGGAGTTGATCGTGGACACAATGGGTCGCAGTGGGGTACCTTCTTTATGGATCTTGGGAAGACCATAGAATCTGGGTGGTCTTGCAGCGGAGGGTTTTAGGGAGGGACGTTTGGTTGGTTCGATTAGGGAAGTCGATCTAGTGATGATCTTGTTGGTTTTTTATCGTTAGGCTGTTAGTAGAATCACTTTTAATTTTTGAGTAACTCCCATCATTGAGAAGGTCCTGGATTTTGTTGTTGTATGAGTTTTTATCCATAATGACAGTGGCATTGCCTTTGTCGGCCAAGAGGATGACTATATCATCGCTCTTTTTTAAATTCGCGAGTTCAGAGCGTTCATTTGTGCTGATGTTGCTCATGGGTTTCTTAGCATTCTTAAGAATAGTGGCTATTTCAGCTCTCGCAACATCTACTTGGATGTGTCCTATGCCTTTGAGGGCTACATCGACCTGAGAGATGATATCCTCTTCTAGTATATGTTTAGGGGTGACAGCGAAATTTAGTCCTTTAGCCAGTACTGTTTTCAGATTTTCCGAAATCGGGATGTTACTCTGATTAATAACGATTTGTTAACGTCCAGTTTTGTGATGTGTGGGACTGGGTTCTTCTTTGATAGGAGGTTGAATTTAGCGATCAGGTTAGCTTTGCATTTGACTGACAGTGAATCAGCAGAGGCAGCAGTCATGTTGTCAACGTGGTTCAAATCAGAAGGGGGCATTTTTTTTTGTTAACATTAAATGAGATTGTAGGAGAGTCCTGTCTAAACTATCGAGTTCAAATCGGAACTCTTATCCTCTCTGAGATTAGTGATAGGCTAGCATTAAACAAAATCCGTTTAGAGTTCGGTGCAGATACAGCAGCAGATGTGAGTGTGAAAGCGATGGGTATTACCTTGTTATCGCGGCTTCTTTTGAGGAAGGTTAGCGTCTCGATGAGCTGTGACTTCTCATCTCGTTGTCTGTTAAACGCTCTAACAGATAGGTGGAAATCCTCCCCGTAGAGGTCATTAATTCTAGATTTGAAGCTTTCGTGACTGCAAGGATTAATACTCTTGGGATTTTTCAGTAAAAAAAACTAAATTAAATCACGACGTTTCGGAGGAAACCACTGGAAAGATGTCATAAACCAAGTCTAAACTTTAGCTACCTTATAAGCGCACAGCCTTTTTTCCATTGCCCCCGTGCAATGAACCACCGCATCCCCCGAACCCTCAACATAACAAAAGATGGATTAACTTAGCCCCGCACTCCATCATCGTTCCCTGCTTGCCCCCCCCCCCCACACCTTAACCTGTATATAAGCTCGAGGGTCTCAGAGCTCCCCACTTGATGCAGGTATCTTGCTGTGACTGTTCCACCTAAAGACGGAAGCTTGTGTTGCCTCCGAAACGTCGTGATTTAATTTAGTTGTTTTCTTTTATTTGTATTTTACCTACGTGAATTTACCGAAAAAAACAAAGAGTATGAATCCTTGCAGTCACGAAAGCTTCAAATCTAGAACCACCTAGCCAGTGAACTGGAACACGTACACAAAGCCCTCAAGATGAATGGGTATTCGGACCGCATTATTCGCAAAGCTGTTTCTCCAACTATGGAGAAACAATCTCCTGAGAATCCAATCAAAACCATCACTTTACCATACATAGCAGGTGTTACCAAAAAGTATCCAAAATCTTAAACAAACACAAGATCCAGGTCCGATCCAATATAGTACGCAAAATCCGTGATCTAATCCCATCTGTGATGGAGGTCATTCCTGATATGCAATACCCTGGAGTCTACAAACTGAGTTGTACCTGCGGTAGCAGTTACATTGGCGAAATGAGACGACATGTCTCCGACCGGGTTCGCGAACACAAGGTTGATCTGAAACACGGCAGAACCAGTACCTCTGCCATAGCTGTCCATTGTATAACGCTGTGTGCTCGCATGATATTGTTTTTTTCTGAGAACAAGGTAATCTGCAAACCTTCGGGCTACTATCAAAAGTTTGTTCATGAAACCATCCAGATGTTTAAACTTAGACATAACTTCAACCGAGAAGATGGATACAAATTGAGCAATCTTTGAAATTGTTATTTTACCAGGTAAAGCCTTAACTGGTTGTAGTTGTTTCCATCATACCTGCCATTTACTAGCAGTTTTTTTTTTCCGAGTTACTTTCCCCCATGTCCCACACTCAGCTTCCCACTTCTTGCCCCGCCAATTTCCCCCCCCCCAGCCTCACTTCTTCTCCCCCTAGCTCTCACGGAGCCCCCCTTCCCCTGCCCCACACCTCCCCCACCCTCTTTCTCCCCCCTTGCTCCTCCCCCCTTTCTTACCTATATAACCTCTTGCCATGGCAGCTCTCTTGCCTACTTCAGAAGTTTTCTTGCTGTGGTTGTTCCACCTGATGAGGATTGCTTCTGTTGCGATCAAAACGTCATGAATTGTTTTATTTTATTTATATCTACGTGACTTTACCGAAATAACAAACGAGTATCATCCATAATTCAGTTTTGTTTAGGTTATATCACTTAAATGTGTCATTAAACCCACCCGACACATCCAATTACTAAGGTTTGTTACATAAACAGAACATGCCAATTCGTTACAAGTAGAGTACAACGGTGTGTTGGAGAGTCAAGCCACAACATTTACAATCTGACGTCACCCTGCTGCTATATTTAAGACCGGCAGCAAGTGAGGGCTTTACCATTCTGGCGAATTTCCCGATGATGCTGGATGTAATCACCAGCGAAACGTCTAACTCAAACTGTAAATGTTGTGGATTCACTCTTCAACACACCGGTGGGCTAAAGTAGTGAACTATTTGTCTTTTCATATTCTTAGCTCTTTCGGTAAAGTCACGTTGAAGGGAAACAATAAAATAATAAAATATATAAAACAATAAAAAGTATCACGTTTCGACCATAACACAAACGGTCGTCATCAGGTGTCGTGAGAATTTTTATTGTTTTATATATATTTTATGATTTTATTGTTTCCCTTCAACGTGACTTTACCGAATGAGCTAAGAATATGAATTACTGCAGTCACGAAAGCTTTAAATCAAAATGTATTTGTCTTTTGTCAACGTTACACTTTTTTGCTGATTGGCCGTGTCGGGTGTGGAGGGTTACGACACATATATAACGCGATCTAACCCAAAAACCTTTATTATGAATAATATTGGTCGCGAAAGCCTATGTGTTAAAATTACAACTAGCTTCATCAGGCGACAGCCATATTTGTAGAGAAGTCCTGTTTCATTCCTTAAATAGAGTAGATGTGATGGCAACACTTGTGAGCTCTTCTTGCGCTAAGTGGGGGTGATTAATTAATTTATATAAATTATTATGGGTACCCATTGCCGTTTTGGATGTTTATATGGTAATCAATGTACATTATGCATGCACATTATACGATCATATTGTTCTTGTGCTTCCTGTCTATTGTGTGTACTAATATAGCTGTACCAATGGTAATCCCTATTGAAGTATGGTGACCTGTATAGGCATCTCAGTCAGTCGACCCAGGCACCTGGGTCTGTCCCGTAACCCACTGAAAGTGTGACCCCCCCACACTCGATCCCAACAACGTGTATCCACGAACTTTAATAAGGATGAATCTAGTACACAGTTGTAAATTATTAAACTGCACCACTGCTTTTGTTAGTCAGTTAATTTACTCCAATATATGTTGCTAGTGACAAGAGGACCACAATGCACTTCTTCAGGAAATGCTAATTGTATTTGCACAACGGCCAAGTGCTTTTACACATTTGTGTGTTGAAAACTCGAACACTTTCAGATGATAAAGGTACTGTGCACTAAAATTGAATGGATGATTGTATGTATAGTGATATTAGTGAATATAATCTCCCTGTGTTCCTCGATGAAAAATTGTGTGATCCTCTGCTGCAACTTTGTGTTCTCATAAACGCAATCACGTTTCAAATTATACAGGTACAGTGCAGTATAATTGAATGGATTCTTGTGAGTAAACTGATATTCGTGAATACCACGTATATATAAAATGTATAACACAGCATTAAACAATGACCAGCTTTGCTCATGAACGTGTACTCTGGGCATGTCCATTCGCATTTTGAGTGTCCATAATTCACCACGTGATTGACCCTGTGGTTCATGTGGGCTCAGTGAGTCAGCGCTGGTTCTTCTCCCGTCCACCTGGGTTTAGGCTCAGTAACAACGGCATCGGAGACAGCGGCCTCCGACTTTTGGCTGATGGGATGTTGGGGAGAGAAGAGAGTTTGGAGGCGCTACAGTGAGTGATGTCCTGATGTACACACACTTATATAAACACCTAAGCAAATATCAACACACAAATACAGACACAAAACACAACGATACTCAGTATTGATAAAATATTTCATATTTCACTTGTTTTTATGCACATTAATTAACTAGCCTCACTTGTTGCAGCACTTTAAACCACTATTAATTTACATTACAATTACAAATTCCCAATCAGATTCTCACAAATAACCTACTCTACCCTATAGATTATTTCACTCCATAAGTGGAAATTAAAAGATTAGAAAAACTATCGGCAGGCATCTTGACCTTTTCCGACCAATCAGTGTACATTACACCACAACCTGACCCTTATTAATGCCATAAACTCACCAATGTACCCCATGTGACTTTTAAACACCACCCCAATTAATGTTAACATTATTTTAACTGTACCCAATATACAGTTTAAATCAGCCACAGCTACGTGATGGGTAATGAGTGGATTCAGAGGTGGGCAGAGACTCCTATGTATTTATCACTGATGTTCGTCAGGAGTTGGAATCTGTTGTGGGTTGGGTTAATAGAGCAGGGCGCTAACCACTGTGGCAACACGCCACCACCAACAACAACACTCGCCATTCACCATTAAGTGGCAGTGACGTCTCCACAGCTCCTGTGCCAGGTGCAATTTGAGGACACGTGAAGTGTCGAAGGCTCACTGACAGCAGGGCATGGACAGAATAAGGTGCCATGGGTTGACTGACTGAGATGGCTAGCAGATGCACCAACTGTGCCCCCACCTGTGCCAACTTTCTGCATTTTAGCCGCTCGACGCTACACTAGATTTTGTGAGCCTCACTGCTATGCCCTCCGTTGTTGGGTGAGGGTGACTATCTCCAACTGACTAGTAGCGTCCTTCACGAGCCTCTTTCATAGAGGCCAATCTTAACACCACAGATACTGGTCTATGGCAAATCCACTTGGCTCCACATCCTCCCATACCGCATCAGTCCATCTTGTCTCCAGCCAGTGTGGTGTCGATTTAGCCCCGTCTATCCAGCCAAACAGAAGCTGCTTGGACATGCGGTGGCTGAGTATGCAGGCCAAATGACCCACCCAACGCAGCCTTGCCTTTTGGAGATCACTGAGTGGAATGTCCAAATCTTTCGAGGATTTGTGAGCTCCTCACAATCCAGCCTGGGTAAACCCAGGATAGATCGTACAGGCCAGCATGAATATTAAAACTGGTGCAGATGTTACATCAGAGGGGGCCACGTATCATAAGCATAGAGAAGGGGGGGCATAACTGTTGCTGAGGAAGATGTGAAGTTTCAAGTGTAGCGACAGACCAGGCAGCTTCCGCACAGCATTATGCAGGCGATGAAAATATACTGCTTCCTGACTGATTCTAAGTGAGACCTCTAATTTCAAACCAGAGGTGGTTCTAAATGCACTGCCCAGGTAGGGAAAGCTCTTGACTTTCTACACAACTGTGCCACCACAAATGGGAAGTTGAGGTGGTGGAATGTTTGATGCACAAAATACCCAAGAAGGTACTTAGCTTTGGAAGGCCTGATGGTAATGCCCTACATCTTAGTACCACACTCCAGATAAAGCAGCAGTGCCTCCACCTCCTTATCTGAGTTGATGGTAGCAGAAGGATTGGGAGAAGCTAAAGAAGAAATGCGTGGAGTTGGGGAGCAAATGGGGAAAGTGTAATACATGGGAGGACATAGAAATTGGAGACATTTGTGAGGAAAGTGGAGGAGTTGAATAGGAAAGTGGAGAAGCTTGGGAGGAAGTGGGTGAAGATAGAGAGGAAATATGAATGTTTGAGGAAGTGGGAATAATTATTGAGACAATGGTAGGTAGATATATTTATTGGGAGGTAGGGAGAACATGGGTTGGGTTTGTAAGGATGTGGAAGAAGATGTAGGGAAGGGGAGGAGTTAGACAGGAAATGGGACAAGCTATAGCGGACATGCGATGGCTTATAGAGGAAACGGTAGGAGTTAGAAGGAATGGGAGGAATGAGAGGATATTGGAGAGTTATAGAAGACATTTTAGGAATTGGAGAGGCCATGAGAGGATTTAGAATGGAATGAGTGGAGTCGATGGAAATTGAAGCTTGAGTCAACTCAGTAAGAGTATGAGTAGAATCGTGAGGTATTGAGGAATTAGGAAAAGCTACAAATAAAAATGGAGTTGTAGAAAATTAGAGGAAATAGCACGGAAAATGTGAGAGCTTCGTGAGTATGTGGGTCAAATTAGTTAAAAGGGGAATGGCGTTAGGAAATAGGAGCAGTTAGAAAATGGTTGGAGCTAGAGAGGAAGTCTGAAGAGATGGAGAACATGCGATCAATTCGAGAGGAAGTGCGAGGAGGCATTAATATCTGTGAGGAGTTTGTGAGGCATTGGGTGAATTTACAGGATTTGCGGTGTTAGAATTGTAGGAGTGAAATGATAGCGTTATATTACACGTATGAGGGGTCAAATAGGTGGGAGGAGATATAGAAGAAATGGAAGGAGTAAAAATAAAACGTATAGGGAATTAGAGAAGCTAGAAAGGAAGGAATGAAAGAGAAAATAGGAGTAACAGGATATGGGAAAATGTTGTATAATAATTGGGATTGGTTTGAGGATACGTGAAGAGCTGGTTGGAATTTGAGGAAGTGGGTGGAGGTAGTGAAGAAAGGGAAATCACATTTGAGACATGGGAATTGTGAGTTGGGGGTACATTTTTGAAGTGTGTGAAAACTGGGAGACGTTAGTGAGGAAATCAGAGGAGGTAGCAGGGGAATAAGAACTAGATGAAATGGGAGTTCATATATAACTGGGATATATTACAAAGGAAGTGGAAGAATTTAGTGAGGAAATAAGAGGAGTCTAGCGGCCGCCCAGGGTGACCACACCGACCTCGGGCTCTTCCTTGTCCATGATCCCACTTGGCCCATCCCCCCCCACCCCACTCCAATATACTACATGCATCCTTGTATGGTACTGTACGTACGTTGTGAAAGAAGTTCAACATACATACATGCAATGAATACAGGAATCTCGCATTAAACAATGAATGGTCGAGCCACAGAATACATTTAATGCAAAACTGCAATAACTTAACCCGTCAGAGGGAAGGGTTTGCTGTATTTTTTATTTGCTACATGGACGATCCAGTTTAGCCAGTTTCCAGGCTGAGAGATTCATGGTTGCATGAGCACAGGAACAACAAAACAACGACAAAAAAACATCAATATTGCAGAGAACGATTACTGGACCTTTAAAGAATATTGCACAAATAAGAAGTTAGATTTTTTCTTTTTTGTATTGCTCAATAATCCAACAAAACCACAACATGGACATTCGAGACAGAAACTTAGGTCAAAATCGTGAAACAGCCTGGCACAATACGCCCTTAAAATGGGGAGGGGGCCGACTGCAAGCACTTGGGTTCACTGCCTTACCACTATCGGGCAATGATTTAGAGTAGCATATTTTCATAGGAGGGGAAGTTAAGGGTAAAAGGGGAGGGGGGGTAATGTGACTAAACAATATGCAAAATAAAATAATATAAACGCGATGTCCGATTTTATCAATCTTGTTCCCCTCGGAGCAACAGACATCATGTGTTTGCAGAAATGGTGCAGTGTCAAGAGGCCATCCCCTATCCCCGACCCCCATTTATCCCACAATTCTTGCAGGTTTCAGCCAATTTGGGGACCACATAGCGTTATATTCCAACTACCTTCCTTTAAGTTCATAGCTTAAGAGCTCCATTCCCGCCACAGCAAGTAGAGAATCTGTCAGTGTCCCAGTGTAGAGGAGTAGTTTGAGCAACCATGAAGGGGCGAACAGAGGGAGGTGCGAGCGAGTTGATAGACGAGGATGACGTCGTGTCACAGGGCTGTAGGGGGTACTTAAGGGGGACCCCCATGACGAAAGTGGGGTCTAATAATAGGGTTTTCCCCCTTTTTTCTGGCAACAAAACTGAAACCTTTTTTAAAAGGATTCATGTCTGCATTAACCACAATACCTGCAGTCAAAATGCAAACACAAACCATACAATGATAATATATGCATTGTCCTTGGTGTGGACCAATCAGTTTCAAGGACAATGCATATATTATCATAGTATGTTTTTTTTCGATTTAAAGCTTTCGTGACTGCAATGATTCATCTTCTTTGGTTCTTTCGGTAAAGTCACGTAGAATGAGAATAAAATAATAAATTGATAAAATAAAATAACACAATAATATTCTCACGACGTTTCGGCCACAACACAAGCGGCCTTCATCAGGTGAAGGGACGAGACTGTCTGGTAGGACAGCGCTGGAGTGAAAGAGCCACGTTCAGATCACGACCTTTAAGCTGTGTGAGAGGAAACAAAGCGCCTTGACAAAGGAATTAGCATATAATTTAGCATTGAAATGGCTGAGTGATTAGCTTGTGACTGGTCACAGAAATAGCTATGTTAAAAGTTAAAGCATACACATCCGCAGAGGCACCCCTTGACAAAGGAATTTGCATAGAATTTAGCATTGAAATAGCTAAGTTAAAGCATACACATCCGCAGAGGCACCCCTTGACAAAGGAATTAGCATAGAATTTAGCATTGAAATAGCATTGAAATAGCTGAAATAGCTGAGTATGTTTTTTGTTTGCATTTTGACTGCAGGTATTGTAGTTAATGCAGACATGCATCCTTGTAAAAAAAGGTTTCAGTTTTGTTGCCAGAAAAATTGGGAAAAACCCTATTATTACATTTTGGTACTGGCAAAGGAGGTCTAATGATGAAAGTGGGGTCGTTGTGGGGAGCCAGGGAAAGGATCGGCTGGAAGAAGAGAACTAAGGGATAGCCGAAAGTAGGGTTCAGAGCATTCAGTAGGGATCTTCTGAGAGAGGGTTTCTCTCTACTCATCGCCAGACGGTGTTGGATGAGCCCCCGTTCCGGGCAAACGAGTGAGAGAGCCCTAAGGGATAGCTGAAGGCAGGACCAGGCACTGTTGAGAGTCCGTGGTAAGGACTCAGATAGAGAACACCTACCTCTGGTGTGAGTTAGAATGTTGAGTTTAACAGTGTTATTAAACAGCCACAGCCTTATAGTAAATCCCGTCTACACGTGGTCTTACTGCACAACGCCAGGAAGGAGGTTCATGGTCTGTCCAATTTGCCAGAATATTTTTTTCTTTGCTACAATTTAAAAGGTTTTGAGTAGTGTGTATTGGTGCTTTGACACCCCCTTAGCTTCAGGCCCCACAAAGTTGTGTCCACTTCGCGGCTCAATTCTGTGCCACAGATCCATTTAAAATAGTCCGTTATGTCCTGGTCACATTTCGAGATATCTGGGTACGGTCAGAAGACGTGTATGTATGTCTGTACTATGCCTTGTGTGCATCTAGGGAAATCCGGGGAGGAGTTGTTAAATTTGGCTCTCCTGTCATTGGTCAGGTAGGTCCCATTCATGAACTTGAACTGAATAACTTTCAGCAGAAAAGACCATTTCTGGTGAGAAATGTGCAGTCCCAGCAGCTTTTCCCATAACTTTTTAGTTTTGTGTTTCATCTGTCACCATCTCTGTTGATTACATGATTTGCCTCTGCCAATCTATATTGTCCTTTTTAACCCCTCAGCCAATCTATAACAGTGTCGGCACTAAGCTTGCAGTCTTTGTTTGGGGCTTTCGTAATAGTCAGTGATCTGCAGGTATTTAGAAAAGAGTGCCCACGGGAAGTATTTAAATGTTAATAATGTACACGATAATAAAATTGAGACATGTTAATGAGGAAATTGAAGGTTATGAGAAATTTAGGAATGAGAGGATATGGGAAGAGTTTAAGTGGAAGTGCCGATATGCAGGCCAGGTGCTAAGTTACCTTGTGCTCCAGATAGTTGTGACTGAAGGTTTCCTTTCAATTACATTGTGATGAGATGTTAAATGAAATGCTTTCAGTTGTGACTACTTGTAGGATGATGCAATATCGAAAATAAATCATGATGATTTGATCAATATATATACACACACAGATTCTACAGAGAGCCTTTAGCAGACTTTTTGGTCATATACTGTTAGGGAACACCTAATGAAGGCCAGAACGGCACATGGGGATAAGGAGGCCAGCACCACACTCAGCCAACTGATGTTTACTTACTACACCAGGTACTAGTTTAAGGCTGAGTCGACCTAGGTGAGGTCCACTGCCGTTTTAGATATTCATCAATGAGGTTAGCCGTGAGCGGCAATCGAACCAGGTTCGTGGCGCAGTGTGCTAACCACTGCACCTCTACTTTCCACGCGCATGCACACATATGCATACACTAAGACACATGTACAAACACACAGAGATGGACAAATGCAAATGCACACATAGTATACATTCACACACATCACATTAAACCCAAAAACCTAAACAGCAGTTGCTTTTTGCAAGCTCCTATGAAAGTTGACATGAGGTTCATTTGTGCACAGTCTCCACAAACACGACCCTCAACCACTGTCCCATCAACAACTACCACCTTTCACCACCCCTCACCATCCCCCACTCTCTGCCCAGATCCTCCACCCATCCCCTCTGCCCCCACTAACAGTCTCTTCTCTCCCTGCAGCTTGTATCATTGTTCACTGACGGACAAGTCGGGTTCCTATCTCAGTGTTATCCTCAAGGCCAACACAGGTTTGCAGATTCTCAGGTAAGCTCTGCTGTTCGTTTCTCACATGTGCTCTCTGCACGAACTGTGCTAATTATTGGTGCAACGCGTTGTGAAGTAAACATTTAAATGTCAACCCAGCAATTTTGCTGTCTCTACATGGCTAGTATCGGTAAAGTCACGTAGGTATAAAATAAAATAAATTTAATCACGACATTTCGGGCGCAACACAAATGCCCGCCATCAGGTGGGACAACCACAGCAATAAACAATTGGCAATGCTGAGCAATATCTTTGTCGACAAGAAAATCACGCAGAATGCACCAAACTTAATAAGAATTGATATTCATATTCAGAACATACTGTTAGCAGATATATTAATTGTCAACATCTTCCTGTGTTCATCAATTAAAATGTACTTCACTCGTGTGTAATCCTCTGTTGCAACTTTGTGTTCATATAAACGCAAACACTTTTCATATTATAAAGGTACAGTGCAGTATAATTGAACGGATAATTGTGAGTAAAGTTATGTTTGTGAATGCCACCTATTATACATCAAATGTCTAACACAGAAGCTTTAAACAATGAGCAGCTTGCTCATGAACGTGTGTACTCTGTATTAAAGCTTTCGTGACTGCATAAAATTACTCATTGTTTTTTTCTGTAAAGTCACGTATGTAGAAATACAATAAAATTATATTAAAACAAAACAATCACGACGTTTCGATCACAACACAAGCGATCTCCATCAGGTGTCAAGAACAAATCATGGAAGTAAATACAACAAAAAGATGAGAGACGAGAATTCAACAAACCTAAAAAAACATTATGTGAAGCACAGCCAGTCAGGCCAACAACTGTGTTAGACACTTCCTGGTCCGCCAGGAAGTGTCTGTGTTGTTGTCCTGACTGGCTGTGCTTCACATAATCTTTTTTCAGGTTTGTTGAATTCTCGTCTCTCATCTTTTTGTTGTATTTACCTCCATGATTTGTTCTTGACACCTGATGAAGATCGCTTGTGTTGTGATCGAAACGTCGTGATTGTTTTGTTTTAATATAATTTTATTGTATTTCTACATACGTGACTTTAAAAAAAAAACAATGAGTGTGTACTCCGGTTAAGTGCACCGCCATTGTGACTGTCCCTAACTCACCGCGTTTTTGACTCTGCGGTTCTCGTGGGCTCAGTGCATCAGGGCTGTCCCTTCTCCCGTCCACCTTGGTTCAGGCTGAGTGACAACGAGATCAGAGCCAGCGGACTCAAACGTTTGGCGGACGGGATGTTCGGGATAGCAGGGAGTTTGAAGACGTTAGAGTGAGTCATGGCCCAATGCACACACACTTGTAAAAGTACACCTAAACAAATATATATACACATATGTGACACAAAACACAAAGATACTCAGTATAAATCTTGACTTAAAGCTTTCGTGACTGCAGGAATTAATATTCTTAGGTCTTTCGGTAAAGTCACGTAAATAGGTTAAAAGAAAATAACAAAAAATAACAAAAAACTACGACGTTTCAATCGCAACACAAGTGGTCGTCTTCAGGCAAAGGGGGTTAGCTTACAAGGCAAACTGTTTATAAGGGGTTTGAAATAGGCGTAGCCCAAATGTCAGCAGCCAATGATAATGTAAGTGGTGGGCAGCCCAACCTGAAAGTGGTTGGTTTTCCACCAATCGAAGAGAATATAATTGCTCCGATTTGAACTATACAATTTAGACAAGACTCTCCTGAAATCACGTAACATTGACGGAAAAATGTCTAGATCTGATTGGGACCATGTAGATAACATGACAGCCTCTTCAGCCACCTCAATGTCAGCTAAATGCAAAGATAACCTGATTTCCAATTTAATCCTCCTTTCCAAGAATCCAGATCCACACATCGAAAAGTTAGACTTTGACAAGATGGTTATCAAACAGAGTAACAGTCCAATTTCCGACAAACACCTAAAATCGGTTCTAGCCAAAGGGTTGAATTTCGCAGTCACCCCTAAACACATCCAAGTTGATGATATCATTGCCCAGGTCGACGTAGCCCTTAAGAGTTTGGGACACATTTATGCAAACGTGGCAAGATCGGAAATCACTGCAATCCTCAACAATGCTAAGACACCTATCAGCAACATCAGTAAAGATGAGCGTTTTGAGCTTTCTAAATTAAAAAAGAGAAATGATTTTGTCATCCTCTCAGCCGAAAAGGGCAATGCTACAATCATCATGGACAAACCACATTCAAGAACACAATTCAGGACCTACTTAATGATGGTAGCTATACCTAAATTTTAAGAGATCCCACCAACTGCCTCGTTACGAAAACCAACAATATTATCACTGATTCGACATCTTTGATCGAACCAACCAAGCGATTCTCCTTAAAACCCTCTGCTGCTAGACCACCCAGATTGTATGGCATAACAAAAATCCATAAAGAAGGAACACCCCTTCGTCCTCATTGTTTTTTTCGGTAAAGTCACGTATGTAGAAATACAATACAATTATATTAAAACAAAACAACACGACGTTTCGATCACAACACAAGCGATCTTCATCAGGTGTCAAGAACAAATCATGGAGGTAAATACAACAAAAGGATGAGAGACGAGAATTTAACAAACCTAAAAAACATTATGTGACGCACCACCAGTCAGGCCAACAACACAGTTAGACACTTCCTGGCAGACCACGAATTTCAGAAGAGTGTTAAATTTCGTGTTCAACTTCTGGATTGCACAAACCAGCATAGACAGAGTGAAAATACGAGGTACACGGTCAGTAGGAAAGACGGACAGAGAGGCAAGGAGAGAGAGAGGGATGAACAGAAGCTTAAATAGGAAATAAGGTTGGGGGGGGGGGGCGGCAGAGAGAGCGGCAGCTCAAAAAACATCTTGCGGCAGCTCAAAAAAGGCACATCTTGCACATACACAGAAGCGGGGGGGGGGAGGGATGAGAACAGGCTTGGGGTGTACATTTAGGACAGAAATGCAACGGTAACGTCCCCGTAGAAGTGTGTTAATAAATTATTAAAGCTTTCGTGACTGCATAAAATTACTCATTGTTTTTTTCTGTAAAGTCACGTATGTAGAAATACAATAAAATTATATTAAAACAAAACAATCACCTGATAAAGATCGCTTGTGTTGTGATCGAAACGTCGTGATTGTTTTGTTTTAATATAATTTTATTGTATTTCTACATACGTGACTTTACCAAAAAAAACAATGAGTAATTTTATGCAGTCACGAAAGCTTTTAATAATTTATTACCCCTTCGCCCTATCGTCTCCACCATTGACTCACCCGCCTACAAACTGGCCCGATTTATGTCTGAGACCTTACAACAATTCACTGGTAAGACCACCTCAGTTGTACTCAACTCAGCTCAATTGGTATCGTTAATTAAGGACATCTCACTTTTTCAAGGTCATTTGCTCGTTAGTTTCGACGTGGTCTCTTGTTTACCAAAGTTCCTGTGCTTGACACCATTGCAATCATTGAAGATTTGGTCCAACAAGGACTGAATGCTGATGTACCGGCCTTGGTGTGACTGCCTCACCAACATTTCACCTGGAATGGAACATTCTACAAACAAGTTGAAGGTACCCCAATGGGTTCTCTCTTATATCTAGTTGTAGCCAATGTTTTCATGGAAAAATAAGAGACAGATGCCATCCAGGCATACACTCTAGTCCGTCCTTGTGGAAGAGGCACGTAGATGACACGTTCGTCACCTGGCCACATCGCAGACCAGCTCTGAACCAATTCCTCAACCACATCAATGCCATACAACCAGCCATCAATTTCACCATGGAGGTGGAAAAGGAATGGCAAGTTACCATTCTTGGATGTTTTAATAGAAAAGAGACCAGATGGCTCAATGGGACACTCTCTACATGAAAGCCACCCATACGGATGCCTACCTAAAAACCTGACTCCCACTACCATCCATCCCAGAAGAATTCCCTAATCAAAACTCTACACCATAGAGCTCGGTGTATTTGCGACCGTTAACACCTAGCCCATGAACTGTAACATGTACACCAAGCTCTCAAGATAAATGGATATTTGGACTACACAATCCGTAAAGCTATCACTCCAACCGTTGGAAAATAGCCTTCTGAGGACCCAATCAAAATCATCACCTTGCAATACATAGCAGGGGTCACTGGCAGGGGTCACTATGAAGGATGTGATCCCTGACATGCAATGCCCCGTTGTCTACAAACTAAGCTGTGTCTGCGGCAGTAGTTACATTGGGGAAACTAAGCGACATGTCTCGGACTGTATTCGTGAACTTTAGGCAGATCTGAAACACGGTAGGACCAATACCTCGGCCGTGGCTAATCATTGTTTTAATGCGGTGGGCTCACACAGAATTGATTTCTCCAAGACGAAGGTACTTTGCCCGCCCACTGGCTATCAACAAAGGTTCGTTCATGAAGCCATCCATATATATAGACACAGACACATTTTCAACCGAGAAGATGAGTACAAACTGGGCAGTCATAGGAAGAACGTTATCGACCAGTTTTAAGTCATAATTGGCTATGATGTTTCCATCGTAGCACCTTTCGATGTTAGTGGTGCTTTACGCCCATTTAAAACTTGCACTTTCACAGGGTTCACAAAAGCACAGCCACTTAGCGCGCCGACCACTTGGTTGCGGTAGGTTGGCTCTCCACCACTTACATTATCATTGGCTGCAGACATTTGGGCTATACCTATTTGAAACCCTTATAAACAGTTTGCCTTGGAAGCTAACCCCGAAGACGACTGCTTGTGTTGCGATTGAAACGTCATAGCTTTTGGTTATTTTTTGTTATTTTTTTAACCTATCTACGTGACTTTACTGAAAGACCAAAGAATATAATATACTCAGTATAGCATGATAATGTTGTATTTTAACGTCTATTATAACTTTATTTCTTATGCAATCATTAAGTTATTAGCCACACTTATTACAGCACTTTTAACCACTATTAAATAACAATACAATTACAATTGTCACATTACCTACTCTAACCCATGATTTAAACAATATTATGTTAATACAGTAGATCATCGATTATCCAGTGGCTAGGGAGGGAACGGGGTACTGGATAAAAAAAAACCCAGATAATCGCATCATTATTTAAAATAGCTTATTTTTGCACATTCTTGAATAAGATGTTTATCGGTGTTCTGTATGTATGTTTGGTGTTATAAGTAGTTTGCGATGTGAACATATTTAAATATACAATGACAAAATAAATATCCTGCTGTAAAAAGTGACGGTATTTACTGTACCGCTATTACCACTCCAACATCGAAGACTCTGCATGGGGTGATATGCGGACTAGGCTCTTGTCCAACAACTTGTGTTTGACAACAACTTGTATTTGACAACTTTTGTTTGACAATCGTCGCACTGATGCAGCCTTCAGACCGGTGATCTGGCGAATGCCAAATTGCACGCAATTCTCGCCGGATCACACTGTATATTTTCAGTTTCTATGACTAGTTATTAGTCATGAAAAGTGTATATACGGGCAGTATTTTCATTTTTAAGTTGTTTGTAATGTGTAATGTACTGTATATATTATTTGGCACAGAAATAAAGCATAGCTACTTGTTTTGTCACGCACATGGTGCCGGTCGGTAAACTGGTAAAGCCTTTCCAGCAGTTTTTCCCGTTTCACCGGATGTTGGAAGCCAGATAAGCACACTCTGGATATAATCGATGGCCATGTGTATTTAACGTTGTAAATTAAAATTAATTAGTTTATATAACGAACGGCTGCAATCTTGACATTAATTGCCCACCCATGCGTTTACCTTCATAAGACCACAACCTGACCCTTATTAAAGCCATAAAATCACCAATGACTTATACGCCAAACCTATACATTGAAAACATTCTATCTTGATTTGAAGATTTCGTGACTGCAGGAAACCATACTCTTTGGTTATTTCGGTAAAGTCAAGTAGCTTTTTTGATTCTCCAATATAAATAAATATTCACATTTTTATTCTGGCTATTCTGCCTGTATCTACATTGGCCTTTCATGGTCAAACACAATATTGAATACAATATTTCATACAGGCAGACCTCGCTGGGGGGTTACGTTACTGGAAATGCCGTGTTGGACAAAGCCGCATTACACAAATAATAGACAAATAGGGTTGCTTTCCTGTGTCTGCAACGATCACTCCCTCCCTCTTTGTTTAACTGATTCTATGAGATTTCCACCATTGTCATTGTATTGAAGGATGTTGAGTTGCTCTCCATTTCTTGTGAGTGTACACTTTATTTTCCAATTTCACCTCACTCAGTGCCTCTTCTCTCCTGTAGTCTGCAGTACTGCTCACTGATGGACAAATCGATCCAATCTCTTCATGACATTATGATCACCAACAAATCATTGAGGGAGCTCTGGTAAGATATGCTGCTCGTGTCTCATACGCACTCTAATTGTTGCTACAGACAAAACTCTGTAGCCTTAACATAACAAATATATGCAAAAGGCAATGTTTTGAGCAATGGACCTTCTCCACAGCACGGCTGTGTCCTATCAACACGAGCCATTGCCAGAACTGGGATTAGTCGTGGAGTGTATTCCAGTACATGTAATAAGCATTATCAGACCAAGGAGCATGACCAAACGACTGGGAATGCACCTTATCTTAAATCTGCAAGATAAGCAGGTTTTAGCCTAGATAGTGCTTAGATGGATGACGCACATAACCACAGGGGTTATAGGCAGCAGAGCTAAGTTGTGGGCAACGGACCAGTGTGCAGCACAATCCACCCTTGAACTATACTACTATCCTAGATCTGCAGTCCCTGCCATCACAGACCTGCAATGACCTGCGTGGTGAAGTATAGTAAAGCAGCTCTCATGGCATGGGGAGACCTTCATCCAGCACGGTTGTTGTGGGGGCTGTGTGGGTCTCGAACCGTGAGGAGCTGCTCGAGTCTCCGTGTGAACCCGCGTCAGCGTGAACCTCTCTCTGTGCTGCAGGGTGGATGGCAATGACTTCAGTGAGGAGGGGAAGAAGGAGCTGAGGAGCAAATGGACTCACAGAGTAAACCTGCGTTTGTAGATTTAAGCTGAGAGGCGACGCTGACCCAGCAGCAGACGGAGCTGCCCCATGAGCGAATCGCACACCAGCCTGTAGCATTTCACCTCCACAGCTCCGATCGCCGGCACCGGCTCTGATACAATGAGCGAGGAACTCTTTGTGAGCTCCACACGGAGCCGGAGGTGAATGCGGCTCCAAGATTCTGATGAGCGTGGTGATTACGATGATGTTGAAGTGTATTTATGAATGTGTTGTGGAGGGAAGCGATGTTGGGGGTTGTGGGGGAGTGGTGCTGGGGGGCATGCGGGGGAAGGGGATGCAAGTGGATTTGAAATGGTCTGGCACTGAGTAGGAATGTTTTTTTAATGAACGTGCATACATTTGTGCATGAGTGTTTACCACACTCATGCACATGAGTGTGTACCACTCTCATGCACATGTCCTAGTCTCAACAGTCACCCTATATCTGTTTAATATTCATGTATTTTAACTTTCAACTGCGCATTGATCGGTCTAAAAGTAATCTTCCAAGTCGACTTCAGCTTGAAGGAATTTATTCATAACTAACAGGAAGTACCCAGCGTTGCCCGAGCGAAAAAGACACACACAACCGCTATTCGCCACTTGGTGGCGGTGACGTCACCACGACGCTTGTGTGCCAGGCTATTTGCACCTTGAGGCTACGTGAAGTGTCGGACGCCCGCAGGCAGGTCACGGGGCAGACCCAGGTGCCACGGGTCGACTGACTGAGATGGCTGAGATGACTGAGCTGACTGGCTGATGCACCACCTGTGCCCCCTACTGTGCCAACTTGCTGTGCTTTAGCCACCCGGTGCTCCACTCGTTATTGTGAGCGTCGCTCGATCCACCCTCCATTGTTGTTGGAGGGCGACTGCCTCCAACTGCCCAGTAGTGTCTTTCACGAGCCTCCTCCACAGAGGCCGATCTTGCCACCACTGGTACCAGTCATCAGCATGTCCACTCAGCTCCACATCCTCCTGTACCACATCACTCTATCTCTTCTCGAGCCTGTGCCACGCCCGTTTAGCCCCCTCGATCAGGCCAAACAAAAGCTGTTTATGCGGTGATTGGGCATGTGGGCTACATGGCCCAGCCAACGCAGCCTTGCCTGCCTTGAGGAGCTCACCAATGGGACTTTGTCCAGATCTTTCAAGGATTTGTGAGCTCCTCACACAATCCAGCCTGGTTAAACCCAGGATGGATTGTAGGCAGGCCGGCCTAAATGTTTCTAACCGGCGAAAATGTTCCATTAGGGGGTCTAAGTTTTGCAAGCGTAGAGAAGGGAGGGAATGACCGTGGCCGAGAAGACCTGAAGCTTAGTGCGGAGCGACAGACCAGGTAGCTTCCACACAGCGTTACGCAACCAATGAAAAGATATTGCCACTCGACTGATTCGGAGTGAGACCTCTGCTGTTAAACTGGAGCCGGTCATAAGCACACTGCCCAGGTATGGGAAACTCTCCACTCGCTCCACAACTGCCCCATCACCGATTGGGAGTTGTGGGGGTGGAGTGTCCGATGGTACAAAATACCCAGGCAGGTGCTTAGTTTTGGTGGGGCTGATGGTAAGGCCCCACCTCTTAGTGGCACGCTCCAGTCTCAGCAGCAGCGTCTCCAACTCCTCCTCTGAATGAGCAGCTATTACCAAATTATCAGCATACATAACGTGGTTGAGCAATAGGGAGCCATCCCTTGACCGCACCCGGGCATCGATCAGCCTCCCATTATATCTGTACCATATGGAGATTCCCCCGGTACAGCTATTGAAGGCTTCACAAACTACGTGGTCAAAATAGATGTTAAATAATGTGGGAGCCAGAGGACATCCCTGTCGCACCCCAAGGTGTACAGGGAATGGCTCTGACTCCCGGCCACGTAGTTTTACCCGGGCCTGCTCACCATCATGAAGGTCCTTAATGATCGTGAGCAGAGGGTCAGGTACTCAAAAGCACGAAGAACGATCCAGAGCCCAGGCCTACTGATGGTATCATAGGCCTTGACCAGGTCAATAAAGCAGAGATGTAGGTCTTGTAGGAATTCCCTACACCTCTGCTGTAGCAGACGGACAGAAAATATGGCATCTGTGCAGGACCGCCCTTTCCTGAAACCGCATTGGGGCTCCGCAAGCCTCTCCTCAGCGTGCCTGGCAAGGCGATGCTGAATACACACACACATCGACTCACACACACATTGACTTACACACACATATGGACTAACACAAACATGGACTAACACACACACATGGACTCACACACACGCACATCGACTGACACACATAGAGACACACACACTCACATGGAGCCATGCACACACATCGACTAACACACACACAGCGACTGACACACACACATGGACTGACACGCACACTTGGACTTACACACACACATCGACGTACACACACACATCTGGCGTTGCCCGGGCAAAAAATACGCAGACACACATGGACCTAAACGCACACACATATGGACTCAGCACACACACATCGACTGACACACACACATCGACTGACACTGCAATCCCCGATGATGCCACAGCTGGAGCAATGTTCTTTCTCTGGCGAGTCTTAGCGAGGAGCAGTTTGAAAACAAAGGTCTTTCGAGTACTGGCAGGTGCATCAAGGTAAAAAAGACTCCATTTGTAGTCTCAATGTGTTGCAAAATTTTCGTGTAGGCTTCAATTTGTGCATCCATCAGCTTTGGTTAATTTTCCTCAATAAGTGTACGAAGCTGTAAAGCATAATAGCATATTGAACGTAGTATCTCTTGAGCAAGGGCATGCAGGTTGTCCTGTAGGGCGTTGGTAGTCCCATAGACGCGAGGTGTTTAGCACCAATGGATTGCAGTTTGTCCTGAAGGAGGATGAGGGCCTGTTTGAAGATGACAGAAGTCACGAAAACTTCAAATCTAGATTGACATCAGAAAAGTTGAGGTCGAGGTTTGTATTTTGTAATTGAGCTCCGTGAAGGATGTCCTCACTCATGCCCTCTTTGTATTTTTGCCAGAGTCCCATGGGGTTAGATGGGCTGCAAACTTGAAGATTCATGCAGAAGAGCAATGTCAGTTGTAAAGGGGACTGACCAACAGAAGCTTCTGTCATAGCTTCATGAAGATGGTGATAATGCGGAAGAATCGCACGAAGATTGCAAGCTTCCCTGTATGTTTGGCAGACAACTCCTTCGACTGTTTAGAGGTCTTGGAAAGATTTGTGCCCTTTGGCAACATGGAGAAGCATTGGGATAAAGTATCACTGCTGATTGTTGGGATGAACTGTGTAGACTTGTCCTAAGGCATCCGGTTAAACCGTCAGCAGCACGTCGCTTCAATGTTTTTTTTAGCAGCCCATGTATAGTAGGAGGGAACGTAATGGTAGAGCAGGTTGGTAGCAAATGGGTAAATTGTGCACAAAACAAAGAACGCTATCAGGATGGTATCTTGTGGCGCCAGGGCCTGTTGTTGGGCATTTCCTTTGGGAACGTAGATGAGTTGACCATTTTGGAGGTGAAGTGGCAAATAGACGACTGTGGGTGAACGGTCATGGATGAAGAAGATAATAATTCAGCAAATGGCCCCATTGTTGCTGATGTATGTTCCTTGGAAAAAAGTTTGCGCTGATGCACACTTTGTCCCTCTGTTTGGTAAAGCAAAGACAGGCATGTCAGAGCCTTTGTTGATGTATTGTCAAAGATAATTGATAGATTTTTTTAGAATAGCAGAATTTGACATTAAAGTGGGCCTGGAAGATCTTGCACAGGAGAGGGCAGTAGGGAACAATCCACCGGTTGTGAACCTTAATTATCGAGTTAGTGGCAGAACTGAGCATAATTTGAAATCCATCATGCTCAGTAGTTCTGTGACGATATAAACGATAGCCATCATGGGCCGACTGAGTGTGTTTTAAGTAGTTGCATGGATACCTCTGGGAACACTTCTGGTCTTGCATACATGGCCCATTTGGATAGAACTGGCCACATGGGCCATGGACCATTTGGTTGCAGACCACATAGTAAATGGGCAGGGTCTTGATGGGGGTGAGGTAGCTCAGCACTGATAAATGTGTCAATATGACATGCATGAATTGTTTACGTCATCCATAGGGAAATGTGAGCATGAGGAAGACGACGTTTTTGCCACCCAATTGTGTGCAAGGTTCTGCTTGTCTATGCAAAGATGTCGCCTTCGTTGGTCGTAATAAGCATCATGTCATAAACTTTGAGCTTTAAGACACTCGCTAAGATGTCATGTCTGTCTGGTGGCTTTTGGGTTTGGATAAAAGATGCAGCGTGGCATATTGGCTGATGTACATCATGGCATCCTGAGTCTTCTCATTCATGAATCTTGGTGGAGCTGTGAAGGATGAAGGCAAAATAACTAATGAGCCCACATTGTGACCATTTGCATCTCCTTCGGCATTGATGGCATCCCAGAGATGAGCATACTGTTCACACGCCAGTGGTTGTGATTCAGTTGAATGTAAAGAATGCGCTCACTCTCAATGTTGGCATCATCGATAACATACTGGTGAAAGGGGTTGGCGCACAATAATATGTGGTTTCCTCCTCTGTCCATGATCACGAAGGAATTTCCGTTTTTTAGAGGAGACAGTTTTGTGAGGATGTCTTTGTCCTGCAGCTTTGTAATTGGAGGAATCTTGACGTGGTACCCATCTTGGGCTTGCGACAGGAAAATGTGTTATTGTAGGGCATGGTATGCTCTGTTAGTGTCAGAAAATCGTGCGATGGTGTTTTCTTGGTATGTAAGAACAATCGAAGCAATAGAAATTCATTGAAGAAATAAGGTTAAATAAGTGTAAATTAAAGAGCAGCAGTACGCACAGGTAAGTTGAGAAGCAGGCTACAGTCTAGATTATAGACTGCCAGTACGCCGACTCAATGACATAAGCATTTCTACAGTCGACATGAAAAGCTGGCAATATGGGCAGCAGCTGAAAAAGCAGAATACAGTCGACATGAAAGGCTGGCAGTACACTGAGTGAGGTAAAGAAGCAGGCAACAGATTATAGACTGGCATACACTTTTAATGGGCAAAAGCAAAATTAGCAGTGTAAATAATAGTGGCAGTGCACTGACGTTAATTAATCAGCAGGCAGCAGGCCACATGACAGACTGCCAGTAGACGGTCGCAGCGTCATAAAAACACAGCAAAAAAAGGAAATATTTAGCAGCCTAATAAGTAAGAATGAGTTTTGTGCACACAAACATTATTATTGTAATATTTGGAAACGTATTAGTTTGATAATAGTAATCAATAAATCTGAGTTGTTATCTGCACGCAAACATTATTATAGTAATATTTGCCAACTTATTAGTGTCATAATAGTAAACAATGAACTTGAGTTATCTGCACACAAACATTGCTGTAATATCTGCCAACTTATTAGTTTGATAATAGTAAACAATGAACCAGAGTTCTATGTGGCACACAAATATTATTATTGTAATATCTGGCAACGTATTTGTTTCATAGTATTACGTAATGAACCTGAGTTATTATCTGCATACAAACATAATTATTGTAATATCTGGCAACCAATTAGTTTCGTAAGAGTAAACAATGAACCAGAGTTCTTATGTGCACACAAAGATTATTATTGTAATATCTAGCAAC